TACTTCTAAAGATTTTCTACTACAACTTGATTGCACTTAATTTTTTCAATCCTGTAAAGGGCTTCAGATACGGCACGATTGATCTGTCGAATCTGTTGTTTCAGTTTTTGGAGTGTAATTCGGCCCTTCTCAGGGTTGAAGTTATGTAAATAGTATCATTTAATTTGGATGTCCCCCTCAAAACTAAAATTGACCGGTTCGAGCGTTTCTGACAAAACTGTCGGTAATGTATAGCTGCCATCTTATCTCGCCGCGCACAGTCGCATACGCCATTTTGTAGAGTTTACGTCGGTGCCCTTGGGTACATTTTCTTTAAAATTTAAATTAAAGCGCTGATAAAGAGCTCGATCAAATATTCATTTCAATTATATTAACTAGTTTTTATTACTACGTTTACTTCATTTACTTGGATGATTAATAATGTTTGTGAGGATGTTTTAAATTTACTTTATTGATTTCCATATATGTGCAAATTGGCATTTCAGGCACTCAACTTCAGTATATAAAATTTGAAAGAAACGAATTTTCTTAATATAATTATTTTCTTGTATATAGAATTAACAAAAGCTAAATTTGGTGATCAAAAGTTATAGCGGAAAATCAATCTTTAATATAGCAAAGTAGGCAGTAGGTCTTCTTGTTTGCAAAATCGAAATCAGATTTCTACCTTCTGTTAAATGAAAGTGTTACTTAATTTTCATGGAAAATTTTCAAGCGAGTCAGTTAAACTTAAAAGAATGTTAAAAAAACTGCCCTTAAATCAAATATCGGAGATAAAACAATCGAGATTTGACAGACATTATCGTCTTTTGTTTCCCACGCACTCTTGAAAATTCAATGCCTATTTAGATTTATTTAACGCTATCCCAAAATGGTGCGATTTAGATCGGAAAAAAACACTTCACGAAATTTTCAAGTAAATCCGTCGATGACACATAGTACCTACTCTTGTTACAATTCTTCAAAATCAGTAGAGGTATACATATTAATTGTCTATGCTTGACTATGCTGTCAAAGTCTCTTGTTTAAGTTGTCTAAACATATAAACTACCTAACGTTCTCAACGTTTTATAGCTAACTTGAAATATGAAGAAATCTTTCGGCATCGCAGCTTTAAAGAAACTGGAAATTTATGACACATTTATATAAAACCGGCGAGAGTATTATGGTCGCTTTAAAATTTTTATGACAATGGACGGGCATATTCTTACGATTACTCTTTGTACTTAATTACAATTATGTAGTATTAGCAGGACTACTGCTAACATTCTTTAAGAAAAAATATTATGTGATATACGGTTAGTTCGATTCGCATATCACATTTCTTGCGTATGTAATACCTTAACTACCTCCATTATGTTGGTGAAGCGCTTACCTATAATTATCGACTGGGATATTAGTGCGTACCTACCAATTAGGTTCATTAAAAATATAGAGAGAGATGCATGAACGACCTCCGCACAAAACGTAACTGCTCTCTAATGGAGCATTTGCTGAATCAATTAAAGAACCGATACTCGGATGCACGAGGATATAATTCGTTGTTCGAGTCTATAAAACACTACGAAACTACGATTTCCTGCTTTCTACCTGCACGATGTTTGTTTTCTTTATTTAAAGGACTACTACGTGTATTGTTCTTGTTACATGGTTGGAAATTTATGTCCATTATTCCCGATTTATTTCGTAATTTTTAAGAAAATTTGCTTTTACCTACATACACTTTGTTTCGTTCATTTAAAAGTTAACGGATTGTGGTTATTTAATATAAGCAACTTCAAATTAAGAATAAGATCGCTTACCGTTTTTAAAAATCGTAAATTTTAAGAAAATTCAGTGTCAGCTGCATGGTAATATTTAATAGTCATAGCGATTGCTAGAGAGGCGCAAAAGTTGGTGCGCTTTAGTCAGTGCCACAAACAAAAATCAAATTTGTGAGTATGAATTTATACCGTCGCTCACCTTATTTCGAAGTCAACATGATAAAATGAACCCAAATTAAATTATCATCGGCCCCTACAATTAACACAAAAAGACATTATTTATATACAGTTGCAGATGCAACAGTTTGCGGCACGTGTCGCGTTGGGTACGACCTTATACCCTTTAACATTGTGACCTAAACTCTGCGTGGCTATAAAGGGGCACGGGTCATTTACATCATTCAAAACTGCAATTTTATTATAAGAATCACAGACAACATAGTATACAACATAGAATTAATCATATTATTATCACATCACAAAATACTGCAACGGGTTTGAGCGTTCAATTGGCAATTATGTAATCTCAACAAGTCCTTATGATTGTATTTAGTAATTTATTTAACACATCAGAAATATGTACCTGAAAATTGTAGAGGACATTTTCATGTTTAGTAAAGTAAACAGGATATATTTTCACTGAAAGACGGTAGCGTACAATTTAACCTGAATGTATAAACCTTAAGATGTGCAAATATAAAATACTATTTGATAAATATCTTTTGAATTACAATAAACACAGTACATTCTTCGGGTGCGAGGCGGTTTTAACGTGACTTCTAAAGCTCAGGCGAGGTTCGCGATTTTGCAGATGGTAGCTACGAACAATAACATGTATCAGTCTGGAACGCATATTCCAATAAATTTTGAATCTCGTGCTTTTTACCTGAGCTTTATAGAGATGTGATAGCAGATTTAAAGTTTCTCTTGATTTTATAAACTTTCGTGTAATGGACTGCTCTTTATCTATGTAAATATTTACCTTTGGGATGTTTAAATATTCAATTGTACCCAGAACTACAATGAGCTTTATTTGTATCACCTATTGTGATTTCAAGTTACGATTATAGATACCTTGACAAGCACACAATTTGTCTTCAATAGAGCTGTATATGTAGATGGTTATAGATTTTATCTTCAAAAACTTCAATGCACGACTTTAAAATTTATTAATCATTTCAGTCGTGGCTATTCTCCTCTATTAATGTATACAGAGTGTTACAAATCGCAAGTGAAAATCATTAAGGTAAATGACAGGATGTGACGACGGCAACTTACTGAGTCATCTTCATGAAAGGTTCGTTTATTTTGATTAACAAAGGCTATTATTTTATTATGTAGGTTAAATGTGAAATTTCTGTTAATACAGCGCAAAAATGTTTCCATCGTCCGTATTTTGTTATAAAAACATATTTGAAGCAATTAGGTATGTAAGACGTGGGCCGAAGTCATTATGATTATGAACATCCATTTTTACTATCTCACAATATATGTCACTCTTGAATAAAAGCTTCATCATAAATACGCGAGTTAATCCACGCATATTGAAACACCAATCAAATCTACAACAATAAAATAAAGTTAACAAATGCCACACGCGTACCGTATTTGGACGTAGACTGAAAGATTTTGAATCCTTTTACTGTTATTATAATTAACTGCTCAAATAAAAAATGCGCCACTAACTGAGAAATCTGATAACGAATTCTTTAACTAAATCTATAAAAGTTACGTGAACATGAATTTATAACTTCAGTAATATGAATAATGATAAAATGGAAGGTATTAGCTAAACTTTTATTTAAGAAGTCATCTAACCACCTGGTGTGCAAGACTATAACAACTAATCACGCATTGCGGCACTAGAGTGATACCATTAAAGGTATTGTACAAATCTGCAAGTATCATTTGCCATAACACAAGTTCAAGTATGTACCATAAAATAAATGAAAAATTTGAGTGAAACAGTTGGAAATTGCTGGTAATGAGGATTTGTGTTCAAAAAATCATCAAATTTTCCCCATTGAAATTTGTTTGGAATGGTGCATTTAAATGACTGTGGGGGCGTCCGGAAGTGGGTACCGACAAATGGAATATGGTAGAACCCCGACACGATCTTATCGATCCATGGCAAAGGTTGAGTTCTCGGTGCCTTCGGGTGAATCAAATAATGTACGTATAGGTACTCGGTTCTATTTCAGTTGCTGTTTCATTAATCGAACCCGCTTCTAAACAGATTTCAAAATCATTTAAAAATTTCAGCTCTTCCTCTTATGTCTAAGAATATCTGTACCAAATTTGGTTCCAATCGGTTCGGCCGTTTCGCCGGAAATGAGAGTACAAGACAGACAGACCAACAGGCTAGTCGACATGATCGAGATTTTGCCTAATTGGGATTACTGGTGCATCAAAAGGTGTATTTCCGTAAAAAAGTGGGGGGGGACATTTTTAATCCCAATGCAATACCTCCCTTACAAAGGTGCGGGTGGTAAAAATGGTTATAATTATGTGTTTTTAGACTGTTGTAGAATGTAGGTATCGAATCTTATTGTAAGTAAGTAAATCCAGATCTGTCCCTGGTTTAGTGTAATTCGATTGTTCTGTTTTATTGTTGCTGAGAAAACAAAAGGAATCATGGGATATTATAACCAAATTTTATATCACACATTACATCCTGGATCCCACATACAAAATAGACTTTGTACGCCTAAAATGGGGCGTTACAGATTTATGTTTAATGATTTACTTACCTACTGCTTGTTGGCGACTAGTTTACAATAAAGTTCATACGTTTGAATTGAATCAATGAATGACGACAAATATATCAAGGACATTTTGTAATATGTGCATATCCGGCAACCAATCTGCATAAACTAATATTTTTATTGTACTTATTGGTATTCCATAGGAAGAGTTTTACGAAAAATATTGTGACATGCATGAATTTCTTTAAATTTGTGTTATTTTATAAACGATGCGAACAACTAATAGCAATAATAATTTTAAAAGCTGGAATAATTTTGGAATAGAATGTTTACGTGTACATAAATATTAAAATGGCATACATTAATTTTTAAAGCTTCGAACCGTTCGGTTGGAGATTACTATAAAATGATAAACCGTAACCGTCCACTAAATCAGTAATGTCCACCTAGAAAATCTGAATTGGACAAAGCTTTAACCGTTAAGTTAAATCTAAAAGCTCTACCACATATAGCAGTTTCAGAGGTAGAAGGATTCAGTGCGCGCTCAACTCGTGTTGCGTTCGTTGGTCAAGCAAATCCTGTTATTGTTGATATTCGGACACATACACAACGTGAAGATTCCAATCGGCAACACACTTCTTTTCAATTGAAATTATCGTTTATTGCATAAGAACTCGTTCCTTATTGCTTGCAATGAGAGTGCGACTATTGTGTACTTAATTCGCGGATTTTGCGAGATATTTCGTTTTCAGATACTGGCTAAATTATAATTCAAGTGCAGGTGAGTTTTAATTTACTTTTCTTTGCTACTGAATATTAATTCAGAAAATGTGCGCCAGGCATTTTGATATGTGTCTATTTCCAATATCCAAAACATCTTGTTTTTGGCAAAGAGAATGTGTTTTCACCTTTGCATGATCTATGTTCTCCAAAGAATTAGTAATTCCCAAAATTACCTACAACAAAATTGTCCATACATTGTAGTATACTTAAAACTGTTTAGATGTATGTATACATTACATTCAAAAATAAGATCATTTGCATTTTATTCATTTTCACAGAAACGGAAATGTTTTGGGCAATTTTGCTGTGGTGTTTGGTATACGAATTTTCCACTGTGTAACTCGGGGATAAAGTTACTACATGAACACCTTTGAAACAACGGTAATTGATGCGGATTAGGACAGATTTTATTTAGTGGAATATTACCATTTTTTAAGGATCTAAAAACCTCTTCACTTTGCAATAATTTGCGATTATTCGCAAAATATAAGCCAAAGCACCTGCAATACATAAAGATTTAAGACCACACACACACGTCAGTACTTAACTAATAATTGTCCAATTAATCAATTCCAGTGGGGACCACGCAGCTTCTATGTATTAAAATTACCGTCCCGTGTACGCTAAAGTCTGCACTATCAAATAATTACTCCCCCTCTCTTTCTATATTATTTTCCATTCGCGGTTTCATAATTTACGATGCCATTAAACTCTGGTTTTGACACAGAGTACACAGCAGCATGTAAAAATTGTATTATTTAAATAGGTGATTATTATACTTTAGATGTGCGTCTCTTACATAATATAAAGACCGACTCCCCTCGGCGACAGACAAATAACATGTGTATATTACGGCCAATTAAATACACGGAGCGGTTCTTAACATTGCATCAAATGAATTCACTGGCGATGCTGTCATCACTTGTACGGCTGCTTGGTAATGTGTGAAATTACTGAAGTTAATAATCGTTTAATCGTTACAACTACTCTACGACAATAAAACAGGAAAAGAACTTGATTGGTTACGATAAATCTGAATCATTTCGTCTGAATGAATTATAGCGTTTCGCAATAAAATTTATGCATAATACTCTTTCTCCATTCGAATTTATAAAATATAAAATGGTTTCCGTGTTATTTACACTTCACAATATAGCACCGAATGCCCCGAATCTCACATGGAAATAAGAAATACAACACAGAATACACAATAGGTACAAATTAATTAAATTGGCGGTAGACCAAGTCCCATGTTTAGGTATATTATATTTTCTTATAACGATATATGTACCTACACATCAAAAAGCAATCAGCAATGAGTAAAATTCCACCTAACGTGGTTTAATATGGGAAGTTTGAATACAAACAATTTTAAATGCTATTTGCAAATCTTTGTAATTCTTAAAAAATCCTACCTACTCTCTAACGCGGTACAAATTCGAACAGGCAACACGCGTTCTTCATTATTTCTATACTCTGTTTTTTAACTAGGAAGACGGATTTAAAAACCTGATTTACACTGGAAATGTCACTAGAATCTAGTAACAAAAATAATAGACTCATTTTATACAGACATGTATTGTGGGTTGCGTGATGTGATTTTCTTTCACATTTGGAATAATCTTTATTAAAACCTGTTGGGTTCTTTTTGTCTTAGAAATCGCCTTTTATCTGTAAGTAACACATATTAAGAGAAATGAGGGGGAGGCGGTACACTCCTTTGGGTTATTATTTAGTAGGAACTCCTTTATAATTATGCATACATCATACTTTTAAAAGCGAATTATAATAAATAGGTAATACATTCATAATAGGTAATCATCCTGCATACATTTTTTTGGCCTTTGAAACATTATTTTGAATTGTAGTTTTAAATCTTTTATCAGTTGTATTACTACACAATCCACATTACAATTTACAACAAATGTTAAGTTATTGAACAAATTCAGAACAATGGAATTATACTCATATTAGTAAACAGCACAGTTCACTGCTTTATATATAAGCGATTTAGTCACTGTCTTCCGAAAGTTCACTAAAACTGTCACTGTCCTCCGATCCGAATGAAGTAATTAATGGTTCTATAAGGGTATCCATTAGGCCATCCAATCTACACACATTATTTTCTTCCTTAATAACGTGTTGCACACAATTCCGCCAATCGTTAGAGCTCACATTTGCAACAGCGTTATGACCACCGGAACGTTTCGAAGGGGTAACAATCCCAGTACTTCAATATTCTTTAATTATCCGGTATACTGTAGATCGTGCGACTCCTAAATATGTGTCATACTTTAATAACCAAATATATATCTATATCATTATTTACGTTACCTACCTGTGGTAGATGCAATCTTTAACACAAGCGTACCAAAATTCATATCCGGAGTATCAGCCAACATTTGTTTATGTGTTTATAATAAACTGCTTCTCGGAGACTGATAAAATGATCCAAGTTGAAGCGACTACGTTTTTTCAAAGGAGACAAGCTTGCTTTACTGGTACTTGGAGTTTGAATCCATCACTAATGCCAGTACACTTAGGACGCGAAATATCAACTTTAGTTCTTAAATGAACTGGTTTTTTTGTTAAAATTTATGCAAATGGACTCAGAACACACAAAAACTCAAAAATAAGTGCAACAGTTAAAGGACGAGACTCGCGATTAAATTTGACAGTTAAATCATGTCAATAGCAATTTTACCTGGGTGTAAAACGGGCGCAGCGCGAGCCAATAGAAACTAAGATTTTTTGCGGGAACTTTTAAATCCGTCTTCCTAGTTAAAAAACAGAGTATAGCTATACTACGGCACAAAGCCTACAGTTATCACGCCCTCTAACGCAAGGTCTACCGCTCATACGTCCTAACTTTATTACTTACTTTTTGAATGCTAAGCGTTTGTAGGTATGATCACTGCTCTATCAAAATGTATAGGTGTCTGGAAACTATAAAAAAGTTGATGCATTCAACGGATATCTTGGTAAACCACACCTTTAAGGAGGTAAATGATTAAAGGGTGCAGTGAATCAGAATAGAAATATTGCTAACTCACACCATTCAATAATAATTCAGATTCTTTATTCAATGGTCACACTAAATATTTTTTTTAATTTATTAGCAGTCAACGAGTATAGCTATTTGTGTATTAAGAGCGCAAAATGATATATTGTCGATTGAAAGAGACAGTTGACGCGCGACGAAGGAGCGCGGCAATCTCTTGAAATCGACAATCAATTTGCGCTCGAATTACACACAAGATTTTTTCTACAATCGAGCAGTTCACATATTTCTAGAAATTTAATTTGTTCACTCAAATCATTTTAATCTTATGCCCAAATGACAGATGTCATTTACTCGTTGTCATTGGATACTCTGAGCAATGCATATTTGATTTATAGTTAATAATTGGGAGAGCGAGCGTTTTTTCTATTTTGTCGCTTATAAGCGACAAAGTGACATTTCTCGAAAAAGATGACGTTTGCGTTGTCAAATACGAGCGCAAATGCCTACTTTGGATATCGATTGTAGAAAAAGTATTATAATCTGTTAGGACGTATGAGCTAAGCGGTGCAGCTTCTTCATGGGATGGCGTAATAACTTAAGGCATTGTGCCGTAGTATAGTTATAACTTATAATATAATCAGAACACGTGTTGTATGTTTCAATCGTAGATAGTAGGTAGGATCTGTACTTCCGGGGGCAAGTATACCTCTGCAATGTGAAACAATTTTCTGATGTGATGTGTCCGATATTTTGCTGATCCGTTTTTTGTCTGCTCTCAGAGTTCGAGTGGTTAAATTGGGGTGTCAATAGTTAATACCATTGAATAAAAACACTATTTTATTCAATGTTAATACTTATTGTCGCGCTTTCGTCTCTGTAAGAATAAGTTATATATGTCGTAGTCTTTTAGAGAAATCCGTCATTTCACGAAACGCCTAGTCATTTATATGAAACTGTGGCACAGTGTACTTTCCAGGGCCAAGCGATTGGATTCCGTTCCCATTGGAAATCGATAAATGGCATCCTTATCGATCTAGAAGGGGAAGGGAAATTACCCCACACGTACAAATTTTCAGCGTTTCACTAAATGACTAGGCCTCGGACTAGGCGTTTCGTGAAATGACGGATTTCACTAAAAGACTACGACATATACATGACAACGTCAAATGTAAGGCTCCAATTACATTAGAGTACTGGTTGCTATATCGACAGCAGACTTTAACAATCTTATTACTTAGGTACATTCCGAGGAAAATAATGACTTATCTGTCACATTTGAATTTGCACAATAATTCATCTCCCGTGCTTCCCTTAATCACTAGCGCGAAAAATGTAATAAGCACCACGGAATGTAGTTGGAACTTTGGAAGAATTAATATTCCTCGAAGCTTAATGCACTACTTACATTCCTTGTGGTTGAAGTTTTCTTCTTCTTTTGAATTTTTTAAATAAATATTTGATCATTTGTGAGAATGCTACATTGAACATTGTGTCATATTAAACAATTTTCAAGCGCGGGCAAAGAGATCCCCAGAGCGGGATTTACCCGCTCTTGTCCCCTTCTGGCTACGGCCCTGTAAATGTCCCGTTTCACGCTTTGGTGTGGTTCCTGTACAGCGTAGTGTTCTGCATACAGTGCATTGCAGTTAAAATGGGCCACTCTGGATAAGTCAATATCAAATGACTTACTAAGGGTTTTAACTGGAATACAAAGTATATCCCAACCCACACTATAATTTGACCTTTTCTTTTTTCTTAATAACTGAATTAACTGAAATGGTGGAAACATTTTGTGAAATATTGTCGCTTTCCTACGTCTATATAAACAAATTGCCTAAGAAATAATACAGGTGAGCATTTTACTAAGTGAGTTTATTCACACGATAATCAAACAGCGTGAAATTATAGTTTAATCGGCTATGGCTATGTGCACATAGAGTAAAATTACATGACCATTATATTCCTTATCTAATTTTCTAGCAAATTTATTTAAT